AGCTTTATCGTAAGGTGTACTTTTTTTGTTTTTGTTTTTCCATGTTTGATAGTCACCATGGTAGAGGAGTGTGCCAAGGTAAAACTACTGCAGGCCCTGATTTGATCGTTTTTCTCTATAGATGACACAGATGGTCATGTCTCTTAATATATAGGCCCATCAAACTCCATGCCAAAGCCAGAAAAGGAGCTAATGCTGCCTTCAATCAAACTTTATTTTTCATCCCATTGTTATAACAAACAGCTCAGGACTAGTTTTGCTTAGACCGATGAAACCTCTAAAAGAGATACTGCCCTCATTTACTCTTTAGTTTTTTCCACATAGAAAGGATTTCTCCATTGGTGCTTCTTTCTGCATCTGCTGTTTTTTTTACTGTAAACCTCCAGTTTGCTCACACTGTCCAATGTTCTGCTGAATGTTTATAACTGTGAAAGGCTGTGATTATCTTCTGCTGTCACCGCATACTAGCTCAGTTATGAAGGGTTGCTTTAAAATTCAAAGTCTAATTCAATTTATCTTTAGCTGTTACATTTTCTTGATCGAGAAGAAGGATTTAAGGGTCTTTTGTTTTTTTTTTTTTACCTTTTTTACCAGGATGTCCTATTGACAGTCCGAATCTCTTTTACAAGAGAGACCTGACCAAGGTAGCAACTAAATTGCAACAAAGGTATGCATACACAATAAACATCAAGTTACATTTTGCTATAAAAGAATGTGAAAAAAAAAACTAGTGCATGTCTCCATCACAATATTCTTTACATTAGTTTTAATGTAAATAATGGAGATAAGGGTTTCTAACTTTAGCTCTTTCTGTAGATCATTCCAGTCCCAATGTTTTTCTGAATTTGGTTGCATTGCGACAGAGATATAAAAGCAACCACTTTGAGGAACATAGTGAATACATTCCATAGCTAATAGAGAGGAATTCACAGAGGTACAGTGGAAGTTTGCCAGGCATAGCTTTATTGTGAATTGGTGCTGTTTAAAACAACCTGAAGTGGATTTAAATATCGAATAAACTACCTGTGGTCTGATTCCCTTAAACTAATAAAACTGTAAAAAACTGCTGGAAAGGAACAATTTGCTGTCACTGCACTTGAAAATCAGGGTGATTCTAACTAATGCTGACATATACTCCAAGAAATATTTTCCTGCCTTGACTAGATAAAACATGTAGATTCTATGATTCCACAGCAGGGGGTGGTGTGTACCTCCATCATTGCTCTGCCTCCAATCTCTTGGACATAAAAACCAAACAAATTCATATAGCATCGAAACATTTATTTAAATGTAGTTAAATTCAGTATTTCTTACTTATTATATAGTATATTATCATTTATTTTTTAACATAGATAGGTTGAAACTGTCTTTCTTTCTGCAGTTCATAGCACAATACTGCAATTGGTAGCAACTTGTACATACAACATTCTGCTTAAAGTATTTATATCTTTGTTTTCTTTGTTTTTACATTATATAATAAAATATTTTATTTGAATTTGTGTCAAGATGTTTAATTAGTTTTTTTTTAATGGTACAAAAGAACAGACAGAGGAAAGATAGCTGCTAATGTATATAAATGTATGAATATCTTGCTAAATATTTCTCTCACTGATTAAATGTAGGTTAACCCTAGCAGCGGCATTATTTCTATGGATATTAATGAAACAGACAGATTCACACACACTACAGTCTGTCCAACTATTTAGAAAGGGCAACTGGGTTACAAATTACTACTATTTCCTCTGTGGTTCCTCTTCCTTTTTTTGAAAACCCGAATTAATTATTTTTCGTGACATCATGGATTTTCACTTTATGCTTAACTTCTGCAGTATCTACTAATGTTAAAACAGTATAGATTAATTCTTAAGTGTTTATTATATGGCATCAGGAAAAAACAAATGTGAACCTTGAGCATATATTATGCTCCACAGGTGCATAGCGGTTGAATGTTTTCATTCACCACCGGCTTATATAAAACTAAACAAGTGCATTTAATGTTCCATGTGTACAATTCAGTGACCATTAGTGCAGCTGAGTTGTGTGAAGCTGACATCTCAGCCACGTAAAAAATAAATAAATAAATAATAACTTGGCTAATAGACTGAATGGTTAGTGCTTCATCAGTGCAGGTTTCTGCTGTTTTTGTTTCAGAGATGTTAAAGATAATTTTCTAGGTTATCCAGAGGTCACCAACCCCCCATGTTAGCTTCAAACTGAACCAAAGTGGTCTACTGTTTGAGTGCCACTTTTGTGCGGTTGTATTGTTTTTGTTTTTAAGATAAATGAGGCTCCCCTGCTACTGGGGTACCAGAGGTGGGAGGAGTGCAAAAAAATGAAAGTGAAGTAAAAGTACAGTAGCTTAGATACAAATGCTACACACTTCCGAACAAACTTCTGAGCCATGGACGTAATTTTTAGGGGGGACAGGGGGGACATGTCCCCTGCACTTTTTCATATGACCGTTTTGTTCTCCTGCAACTTTTACTGTCTAAAAACAATATTACCTACAGTTCACAGACTTTTCATCGAGCACAAGGGACCAAGCAGAAATCCGCAGCTCAAGCTGAAGCCCACTTTCACTTTAGACCGCCCACACGCTCCTGATTGGCCCACCGTCTTTTCTTGTGTGATTGGCTCTCGCCGCTGTCATTCCTGAGAAGCTCACTTTACAAACATCTGATACTCCACTGAATCGGGTCTGTGATTGGATGGACAGACACATTGAAGTTAGCCATATTATAAAGTACTTGAGTCCCCCGCCCCTCTTCTGAAATCAACATTTCATCCATGCCCTGAGCCATCCTGAGCCACTCATATTTGGTGTTATACTGCAGCTAAAATTTTTTTCTGGTTTTAAACAAAGTATTTTTTGTCACATTAAGTAAGGCAGTAAATAGATAGCAAATATTTAGTTTAGACATTTCCAATTTATTATTTGAATCGTGGTACTTTTAACAAGGTTGAGTTGTGGGTTACGCTTGTATTGCCTGAGTGAAAGCTGATAATATTTACTGGACATAATGTTTTAATGGACAAGTGACACACACACACACACACACACGCACACACACACATCCAACTTTGTTTTGATGATATTTGGGGACATTTCATTGACTTGCATTCATTTTATATGGCCTATCCCAGACCCTTACTCCTACCCTTACCCTAACCCTAACTATTACTAAGATGTACCTAATCCTAACCTAAACTGAATTTACACCTTAGTCCTAAACCTAACCCCAACTCAAAGAGCAGAACTTTACCATATAGGGACCAGTTGAATGTCACCATATCTACCTGTAAGTCCTCGCATGTAGGATATTTTTCAAAATACTTCCCTTACATTGTAGGTAAAGCAAGACCACACACACACTCACACACACACACCCACACTATTTTAATCTGTCCAAGTATGACTGTTTGCTTTCTGTGCATTTCACACCTGCAGTGTAGTAGGTTTACAAGCAGGGTACAGTAAAATAGGGTGATGCCAAACGTAATCATTTTGGAATGATACTCCATGTTGACCACTTTGAAAATTATTATTCAAAAAATTAAAATTAATATTTTTCCACATGTTTTTTTTTCTAAGTATTTACATTTAAAATCCATCTCAAATTATAACATTTCAATTTAAAAACAGTAGTCAGCTAAAAGAAAGAAATTAAACTAT